GTTAGGTTTTCACCCATCTCCAGTCCCTCCTTGAGAGCCAGCTGTGCTGACCCTACTGCTTTTACCGAGGACCTGAGTGTTGCCGCTGAGGGCTGGTCCATTCAAAGACACCTCGGGGGATTACACATGGGTGCCCCCCACCAGAAAAGAGCACATCCAGGTAGCTGGTTAGTTTTAAGAACAAACCACAGTCAACACCGAGACAAAAAGAATAAACAAATGCTGGAGTCAGCAGAGGGAAGCAGGAGACCTGGCCTCTGCTGCTGTGTTACTCTCGGATTCCTCTTTTCTTTGGGTAGATAAGAGCCTCAATTGCTTTGACGGGAGCTGCTTTTAATCTCCGGGGAGCAGAGCTCACCTTGGCAGCAGGACCAGCCGTCCCGCAGCCTGGCGCTGGCTGCAAGGTGCAGCGCTTCTCCTCTGCGGGGTCGCGGGCTGCCGGGGAAGAGCAGCAGGGTGACAACTGGCACACGTCGCCCTCCGCGTGCCTTCAGAGCCTCTGCGGAGGCTGGATGTTGTTCTTTGCTCCTTCCCCGTAGTCGTCACAAGGAGCAGGGGCGGCCGGGGTCTGTGCCTGGAAGTTGCCGTGGCTGAGATCCCCCACCTGCCCCTGCTACTTCTGTGTCGTGTCTAAAGGACCTGGAGATTTCTGGAAAGCGCTGCATAAGGAAATATCCATTATTTTTGGATAGTGAAATTTGATTTCTACTCTGATGTCTTCCTGGGGTAAATATTTATGGTGGTTTACTTTTTTCTAAATAAAGCTAATCCCTGTTACTCTAAAGCAGCCCTACAATAATAAACCGATCTGCCTTGGCTAATTCTCCCCAGCAGCTGTAACCAATCAATAAACGTTATAAAATCTGATATAAGGGGATATATAGATGGGGAACGTCCTCTCACTGTTGCGCTGGAGATCAGTGAAGAGAGACTTTATTTGCCTGGATTTTTTAAGGAGTTGCGTTTATTTCAGCTCTCCTCCTTGGTTACAGCACTCCTGTAAAGGGTGAGTTATGTTGATCAGACCTCTTCAGTCAAAATGCTGATGGGGAATAACAATGCTTCCAGGTAACGCTTAAAAATCAGATGCTTGCAAAACACCTAACTGCTGCTGTGAAAGGAAGCAACAAATGTACATCAAAGCAGGTGCAGCTACAGTTATATGAATGTAATATAGCACTTTGTAAATGTATTTACCAGAGTAAAATGTTGTATAATGTATAAAACTGAAGAAAGAACGCTTTCTGAATTGGAACGTGCACACAGTGTGTCTTCACACCCATTGCCCTCCTGAGAGGGACCACTTTTTTCCTGTAGGCATTTTCTGGTTTTTAAGACCCAGACAGAGCAGGCAGTATGTCCTGCAGTCTGGGGTATTTTGCCCTGAGGCTCGAAGACTTGTGTGGGCAGTCACTCCGTAGTGGTGCCTTCCCTCCATCTTCTTTTTTCCAAAATCACCTTACTTGGCACGCTCCCAGGTGATAAAAGTTCAGTCCACTTCTCATAGCTTTGTGTGGATAAAGGACTGTGTGTGTTACTGCATTTTCTTGTGCAGTGCCTCCTCTTGTGCTAACAGGGAGGAGCCTAACTGCTCTGATTGCAAATGCGTAACCTTATACATAGGTAAATATGAAAATCTAATCATTTCCTTTCAGCCCTCTGAGTGCTTGAGTTGTGGGAAGAGTGAGGAGCTGGTGAAGTGGATCCTGCAGCAGTACGTCCTTACCAGCTGATAGAAGAAAACACCTAAGGGGAGAGAGTTGCGGAATGATCTTCACCCCCATTTTCCTCTTTGTATTTCTCATGCTGATGTTGATGCTGGGGGTAGGAGCACTGCTATGAGGATGTTAGGATTAAATAGTAACTAAAGTGAATCTCATCCAAGGATGTTCTTACACAAAAGGTAGACGTGGTAGTTGTTACTTGCGTAATTTTTGCCGAGTTTGCAGGCATGCAGGAGCCAAGGATCTGAATGATTGCATCACGATTGTGGTTGCCCTTGTTTTGCTAGATAACACGAAGGCCGCTAAGTCTGTTCTCCTTTTGCTGTAGCTCTGCATCTCTTGTGCTGCAGGATCACTGTGGGAACAGTCCAGCTGACTGTGAGACTTTACTGAAAGTAATCCAGCCCCAGGGACCTTCACCGCTTTTCTACTGACATCCTTCTGTGCTGATGTTTCTTCCTCCTGTTCTGCATGGCGTGCCTTCGCCTGCCATGGATCAGGCTAAGAGGCTCCCAGAGGCAGCCAAAAAAGTGTATAAAGCAGAGAACGCTTAGAAACAGATGTGGGTGATTTGCACCATTGCCTTCACTGTATCCCCTGGAGCTGAAGGAATGAAGGATGCAGATACGAGATGAAAGACGACATGCCTTTCCCCTGCGTTAGATAGTCTTAAGCCACATGAAAGGCCCCGGTGGCAGCAGTTATTCCTGTTTTGCAGTTATGGTCAAAAGGAAGATGTGCCCAGGGTTCCCAACTTTGCGTTCCCTTGACCCAGCAAGTTGTCCATCCTTCCCTTCCAGGAGGGAAGTGGTTTCATGCTCCCTTACTCTTCAAGTCATGGTTTGTAGCCATATTTGGCAGTACTGGGAGGGTCTGTGTTTTTGTTAATTAGGCATTTTGTTAAAAAACAGGTATTTATTAGAAAATAAACTTACTTGTTGAAAAGTATGAGCTCTAGAACAAATCAAGAGGGGAGCTGGATTTTCTTTTGTTTCATGCTCGCAGCGCCTGGGCTAGTTTAGGATCACTTCATCTGGTGTGATGTATTTATTCCCCATAACTATACCCTTTTATTATTATTATTCACTAGCATCTGTTCCTTAAACGTTTAAGTATTCCCACACCCAGAGTTTGTTATTTTAGAAATTTATAATGGACCCACCCATCAGTGATTTCATCTTGGCACACTTAAACAATATGGCTATTCCTTACAATTGGCAATAAAACTATTGTGGTCCATTCATCTTTTTTAAAAAATCATCACTCAAATAGAAAACCATACAAAAGGTACACCATGATAGCTCAGGACAGGGGAAAACAGTTGATCATTTAGTTGCCTGCTGGCAAATAATTGCTGTCAGCAAGGAAAGGAACTCGGAGCTAGTTGTCACTCCCTTTCCCTCCCAGTCTTTCCAGACAACTTCCGTATCCCCAGGCTATTGATCCTCAAAAACAAAAGGACAGATTGAACAGAAGGGTATTTTTTTTATTTCACTGTATCATGAAAACTGCCAGACATATCTCTGGCAAGCTGCAAGAAGGAATGCATTTCAGAGCAGAGCATTTCCCACCGTGAACATCTCAGCCCCTTGCTGTCCGTGTGACATAAATGAGAAGCAATCCTTCTGGTATGAGACAGTCTGACCCTTTTAGATTTCACTGGAGGGCAAGCATAGAGCTAATACTGACTATGAGTCCTATATGCTCCCTTTGACAGTCCACTTTTGAAGGCATTCTGCATTAGCTGAGCCTAATAGGAGATTTGGCTCCTCCATAAAGGAGATTCATGCTCCTTACACGCTGAAGTTGTGTTGTTTTAGTTCATATCTGCTTAAAAAATGTGTTGGCGGGCTGCAAAAGTCGTGCATGTTCCAGTTTGTGGACAATTCAGGGAGTAGCAGAATGGTGACCTAGCCCTGCCTTTTAAAAATTGTGATAGATGTGGTCATTTTGATGCATCCTGCTCACAAGTATGTTGATAGCATTGAGCCTCTGGTTTCAGCAATGCCCTGGCTCCTGTGAAGGTTGGGCGGGGTTTGAAGCTAGCTATGGTGCAGCTAAAGGCTGTGTGGCTCTCCAGAGTGCTTTTCCCTTTTCTGATGTTCTTTGCAGAGAAAGCATGTTAATATTTGGTTCTGAGAGGAGTTTGGCTTCTGGGTTGCCTGGTGTTGCTCCCTGATAAGGGAAGGGGTTGCATGGACAGACACATCGATCTCAGTCGGTATGATGTTGCGATTAGAAGTCCAAGTAGGGACAGAAAGAGGTGACTCTTTCCTGACATACGGAAGATGTCCAGAGGAACTTGAGGGAATTTTATTACCCTCTCCCTACACCGTCTTTCAGGTTACTGTATTGCAAAGCAGTGCTAGTATATGTTCCTGGTGCTTTGGAAAGTGCTAGTCTGAAATCCTACCACCTATCAGCCCTTTTGATCACTCAGTCTATATGTGTATCTTTTTCACTGTCTGTTAATGGCTTTTGTCTCGTTAAATGCCAGAGAGGCTGTTCTCTGTGAAAGCAGCTTGAAGCATTTAGGACTCATTAGACTTCAAAGGAAACAGGCCTGTACCACAAGTGAGAGGGGAGGAAATGGAGTGGCAAGAGGATTCCATTAATGGAGAATAAAAATAAACCCCAGACAGGAAGGAAAATCCTATAGGTCTGACTCAGAGCTGCAAATCTTAAGGCTGTGGCTTTAAGGACCGATTCAGCACTGGAGCTGCACAGAGAGTTGCCCTCTGGCTTGGTTTCTGTCCACACTAGGCTTGAATATCTCGAGCTCAGAAGCTGAGGCCTGGAGCAAGGCTAAGGCCCGCTCTGACCTTTGCAAGGACATGAGCTTTTCAGGCAAGCGCTTCTGTTTGTCAGTTGACCTGTACACCCATGACTTTACAACTGGAGTCCGGCGTGTGTGACTGGTGCAGCCTCTGGGTTTGCATGCCAGCAGACTGTGAGGTGTCTTGCTTTGGTAGGAGCTGTTCCTCCATCTTCACCACGTGGAGGGAAGCCCCATTGATAAGGGGAGACAGGAACGTAGCTTGCTGGCAGTTGTTTCTTTCTCCCTCTCCCTCCCCCTAAATACACTTGCCATTTTAAATGTGCTTTAATAAGATATTTAATCCGTGGGAAGGAATTTGCTTCTCTATAGATGAGGTGCTGTTGGCTGGAACAGGACGCGCAGGCAATAGATCTTGACAAAGTGATTCAAAAGAGATGATACCTGAATGGAAGCATCTTGCTGACCCTGCTCTTCTCCGTTCATTTCTCCTGTTCCAGGGAAGATCCTCTTCCGCCGAAGTCACATCCGGGACGTTGCTGTTAAGCGTTTGATACCTATTGATGAATACTGCAAGGTAAGGGGAGATTTCTAGCTTCAAGCAAAGATGACACCACTTTGATGAGGCTAGATCCTGTTCTACTGACAGAACGTAACCACGTACCAGTCCTGGGAAAATGGGAAATGTGGGCCGTCCATCACTATAAAACCTTGTCTTTGCACTTCTATAATGAGACAGCCTCCCGCTGGTTCTCCTTTTGTACCATGTGATGAGTGCTGTGGGCTTGGAGGCCTGCACGTGCTGTGTGCAGGATGGCCCAGCTCCACTCCTGCTCCCACTGTGCTGCTTCACTGTCACTTTCTTTTCTTCTTTTTCTCGAGCTAGGCCTGAAGGACTCAGTTTCTCAGGGAGCTGTTCTTTCCCCTTCTGATGGGACCTGCTGTTTTATGTAGGAAACAGCACTTTCTTGGTGGAATGATCCCAATCTGGGGTGTAAACTCACATGCAACCATTACATATCTCCATGTTCGAGGCATGTTTCTTTGATGTTGAATAGTACTGTGGTGCGTAGATAGTCATAGGACTATCCCATGTTTCTCCAGCATAATGCAACCCAGTCCCCATTTGTCTACTGCACCTTCACCTCCGTTTCTCAACCTCTTGCTTCCTGTACCTGCTTGTTGTTAGCCCAGCTTGCACACCCTCAGCCATCTGGAGTTTTCATTCGGCTCTCATTGAGTTCCTGCAGGTGTGGTGACTGCTATAAGTTGTTTGTGCAGGGTAAGCTGCCTTGTACTTGTAGAAGCTGACTGAGAGCCAACAGGGATCATCTCTCGATAGAGGCAAAATACAATTGATTGTCCGTGTTTGAATCGATTTTCCCTATAAGGCTGTGATAATCTGCTCCATATTTTTATGAATGTAAGACTGTGCTTAAGCGTAAGGCAAATTATGTTGTTAGGGTAATTTTTCTGGAAAAAAAAAACCCAAAATATTAAAGTCCACAAAAAATTATTTTCACACGACTAAAGTACAGTGATTGAAATCAGCCAGGATATGCTAGGGTGCCACATCTCATCATGTCCAAGTGCACTAGTACTTGCAGCAGCCATGAAATCATCTGGAGGTCAGACCAGTGCTTCCAAAACACAGTCTGAATGCTACAGAAAGCATGCATGAAAACTGTAAAACCCTAGGGAGAAGATGGGAAAACAATGAAATGTTAGTCACGTTCCTGAGGTGTGGAAGGTGCTCAGATACAGAGGCGGCCTAGGACTTTGCATGGCAGGAGAGACTGTGGGTTGGGACTTGGCCAGACCTGTAGAAGGGAAGCTGTGCGTGGAATAACAGGTACCCGGATAAAGGTGGATTAGTGAATGTGTCTTGACACCTCTGCAGTGGGGCTGCAAGTGAAAATTATTGAGAGCCAGGGTAGCAGGTGAGAGCAGAGCGACAGAGATGTGGTGCAAGGTGCGCTTGGAACCCGTGGTCCGAACAGGGAGCAGCTTGGGCAAAGCTCAGGGTGCAGCTAACTGCTGGGTTCCAGCCAAGTGTGATCAGCCCCTTGTTTTCCAAGTCACTCGGACGTGCCAGCGACATCCAGATGCACACAGCTATAAATTTAATTTTAGAGAAGAAAAAGTCCCTAAGTGGTAAGAGGCTGTGGCTCTCTGTTTCAGAATGATGCCATTAATGGAGTGAAATATAATGAATCCATTTGACTTAACAACTGGAACGTAATGGCTGGTGTTATATGACCCACTTAGAGAGCAGCTCTCTCCTCCTCCCATTAATGCCTTACCAAGTAATAAAATGCCCCTTGTGTAGGATCTTCCAGTTGCTGCTACTTAGCTGTAAAGCTGCTGCTGAGATGGAGGGTGGATGTGGGACCAAACAGCTGTAGAGACTTAGAATGAGCAAAGAGTGAGAGGGAGCAGAGGCACATCTCCTCATGGGCATGTAGCGCTGCAGGTCTCGGCCACAGAGCCCCTGCCTGCTCTCCCTGGTGTATTTATTGTCAGAGGTGGACTGCGCATGTACTGTGAGAATCCACCCTTGGCCAAAAGAAATACAAAATCTCTTCTGGCTTCCTGTGGATGTGACACTGCTCAGTGAGAATTGAGGATTAAATTAAAATGTTGCAAACAATTTCCCACAAAATACTGTGTAGGAAGGTTTTTGCTTTTTCTTCTAGGAGGGGCGGGGGGGGGTTTTCTTCACTCTCTGACAGTGCTCTGGAAAGAAGGCCAAGGAAATACAAGGCGGAAGTAGACAAGGGGAGTGAGGGAAGGAACTGCTGCTTTCATAAGGCAATGCTCTTGCTGGACTCAGAGAAGGGCTCTGTTCTGGCTCCTTCCTTACTGAAAACCTGGGCATTTTAAAGTAAGGCCAAGAAAAGCAGCAAAACAATCAGAGCTGGTAAGAGTAAGCAGTTCTGAGCTGTTTTTTCGAAGAACTCATTGTACCATAGGAGTGACTAGGAGGGGCAGTGGAGGTCTGAAATTTTTTCCCATTGCTCCAATTTATTCTCTTTATGTTCTACATTTTCCTCTGAATGTGGGAACAGCCTTCCTCCAGTATAAGGGACTTTGAGGAAGTCTTAGTTTGATTGCAGACGAAAGAGTTGTGGTGGTCTGATGCTCTGCCCCTTACAAGACTAGACAGACCTCTAGAAGAATTCCTGCTAGAGAATAATCCTCTCTCACCCCCTGGAAAATGGATTTCCATCTGGCCTATCTGTTTTTGGTAAATGGCCTTTCTCCTCAGGCTTGCAGGTGGCAGAGCAGGTGACTTGCTTTGCCTCCTGCAAACGGGACTCAAGCCCTGTGCTGACGGCCTTCCCTGGCGGGAGGGTGGGCTTGCTTGGCTCAGGCACTGCTGTCTCAAGTGAGTCAGGACTGGATGGGCTTGCTTCAAGGTGTCCTGAAAAATGAGATGCGGTCCTTGCTTTTTGTCCTACCGGTGCAGGGTGTTTTCTGTTATCATCCCCTGCTATCGGAGGATATAGAGCCTTCTCCGGGCCACAGGCATGGAGCATTTCTGGGTCACAAGATGCTCGGTACTGGGGAGTGGCAGTCACATGGAAATGGCATCCATGAAAACCTGGTCTACTGGATAGCCATTCGTGCACCCAAAAGCCAGGGAGTAAGTAGCTTTTTTCTATCCTGTTTCTCACATGATCTTAATTGCAGCAGGCCCCTGATTAGTGGTCTGACTGTCTGCTGTGTTGGCGGTGAATGACTGCGCAATGAATGGCTGGAAGGGCTTTTGGGGACCCACAATTAGGTCAGTGTGGAGCCACATCTGATATGTGTGGTAACCCCAGGGCTCTGCATATGTGGCTTTGTCTCTGGTACAGAAGTGAGCGGAGATTCACAGTTTGCCTACGCTCGTGTCACAAGACTGCTGTGACAGCAAGTGGAAGGGAGAAGGAATTATATAGGAAATTGGTCAAATATCTGCTCCAGCTTGGGAAGCAGAGCTGCAGCGCTGGTCTCTGCTTTCAAATCTTCCTTCTTCAACTGTATGTCTTTTTAACTTTTTGCAGTCACCTCCATCACGGCCTCCATTTTCTCCGATGAGCAGAAATCAGAGCAGTGCATTCTGCACTGGCATTTGCTCCCATCCCACCTTCCCAGCACAGCCTTCCTGCCTCATGTACAGTCCAAATTGGAATGCGTCTGGTCCAAATGACTCTGGCCCAAAGCAAATATTGGTATTCCAGGCACTGTCCCCCCAGCTCCCACAAACACCGTTGTGTAATCGCTCACGCTCTCATCCTGCAAGTCCCACCTTTTGAAGCCTGTCTTTTTGCAAAAGGCTTCCTTGAAGGGAAAGAAGAGAAGCAGCGGCAGCTTATAACTCCTGCCATTAGCCTATGCTCCGACCAGCATAGGCTGGTCCACACTTTTGCCTCCCATTCCTTCTCTCTCTGCCTCTTTCTGAGTTGTCATTGCCCAACAGACCATTTCTGTGATGTAGTAGTCAGAAATGATGGGAATGAGAACGTGCTGTGTATAAACTGCTTGTCCTTTCCTGAGGAAAGACGGCTGCATGCACACAGTGCTCCTGGGAGCTGTGGGAAATGGAGCCCTGCTGTAGCTGGATGGTGGCCAGGGTGGGTAGCTCCATGACTCCTACACTGCAAGGACATGTCTGTCCAGCAGGCTAGAGCAGGGCTAAGATGGGCCTGGGTAGTCTCTACTTCTTCCCCTTTAGCTTGAGGTACGGTGGGTCCAACTGGGTGTTGTATGTGGCTTGCTCCATTCTGGTGCGTATTTTTTGTAGCTGTCCCTTCCCTGGCTCTGTGCTCCTTATTTGCTGGGGACCAGTTATTTGCCAAGCTCTTCAGCGTTGGACTTTGTCCCTTGCGATCCAAAAGCCGCTCCTCACTCAGTTCCTTGCCTACTCTTGAGAGCCGTGCTTCGTATCACTGGTGTCTCTGTTTCATCCACAGGCTCTGATCCAGCTGCCTCCCTACATCTCTCAGTGTGAGGAGGTTCTTCAGTTCTTTGAGACAAGACCCGACGACTTGACTCCCCCTAAAGAGTAAGTTGTTTGGGCAGCGGCTCCTCAGAACTACTGCAGGGGCAGCAACGAAACACAAACTGCTTTGACCTCCCCAGCCTCCGTATGCGAGTCTGGCATTTGTAGACAGATCCCA